CGTGCACCTTGGGAGGCCGGGCATGTGTTGTTGTTCTGGTTGCTGTCGCTGTGCGTTATATAGTTTTGTGCAAACAGGTCGAGTGGTACAAGTGCAGCTACCACGGGTCAAAGGAGCTGGAGAAGAAGGACCTTCGAACGTATTTCAGGAAGAAAGCCTTGAAATTTCTGAAAGACAAAGAAATCGAGTGAACTACCGGGCGGAGAGAGCAAAAACGTGCTCTGTGTGGGACGGATGGCCCCTGTGGTGCTGTGACAGGAAACCAGCTCTCTCTCCTCACATTGTACCGTTTGTTTATACATACACAGCATCCTGCAACCATGTGTGGGGCTCAAAATCGTGTTTGTAGGGACTTGCATACACAGGATCGACCGGGACTTTCTCAATCTGCCCCTTCAAATTCGGAGTGTTTCCCAACAGCGAACATGTCGGAATGGGGAAAAGATGCAAAGCTTCCGGGCGCCATGGACACGATTCAGGAGGACAAGGCACTATCCTAAAGACACCTATAGAATCCAAAGAACAGGTTGGACTCCTCAAAGAGCCCACGTTCCAGGATAACGAATTGTACGGTTCTTGATTTGTGCAGTGCAGAGGCCGAAGGGTTCCAGAGGAGCTTCACCAGGCTCAAAAGCCCTGGTCCATGAACCCTCAAAGACACACCATTTTGCACTACACGGCAACGAAAGTGAGTAGGTCCTTGCAAACATGCGCTTACGCATTTGTCAAGTTGACTCTACATTCTGAAGATCTTAAAAGCTGTCTTAAGTGTGACGACCCAAGGCATCGTTCCGAAGCCACGCCTGAAGCCGAAAAGTCACACCGACAAAACAAGACTGAAGTCTGGAGGGGGCAGGAGTGGAATTCTACACTCCTCCTTGTGACCTTCGACATCAGTGAAGGATCGCACTATACAAGAATTCCCCCGCCCCGATCTTGGAGAAATCAAGGCCTTCACCACAACCCTAAACCACGAACGAACGAAAGAACGTGTGCCGTCAGGCACGTGCACACGGGTCTTTGGGAGGTCTGGGCCTAAACCACCTAAACCCTTCAGGGCGCAGGTTCGCCCTGGCAAGGCACTGCTGGCAGAAGGTACGCTTCTGCCGATATGCTGGAGTGCCAAGGTGGCCACAATCATTGAAGAGGTGCACAACGCCACCTCTTTGCATCGTAGTCATCACTGCTCCCCATTTGACACCAGTAGGCGGCATCGACCCCGAGTGTTGAGCCCGTCTGGACACCTTGGCTCCGCCTCGTGATCCGACCTCCATCCAACACCTCAGTCTGGGCAAACCTCGAGACCTGGGTCGTAGTGGATGACGTCGCGACAGAGAGCTTCGGGGCCCTCTCCGTAGGCGGCTGAGAAGCAGCTCACCTGTCAAGGCTGGGTGAGGAGGTTCATAATAAGGGAGCCCACGCGACATTTGCTCCACTCCTTGTGCTGAGATTCCCGGTCCCAGCTCCAGCAAGGCAGAAGCCAGTTCCTCAACAGAGGATTCTGGTGCTGGCTCTTGGTCGTGAGGCATTAGCCCAAAGCCATCCTTCCTAAACCGGGCAAACTTGCGAAGCACCAGGCGGCCTACGACCGGAGTCACCCCGTTTGGGTTGCAGCTCATTCTCGACTTGGTGGTCTGGAACACATTTTGAGCGTACTCCTCATCATTTGGTTCCATAGTGAGATCGGCATCATGTGCCTCCTCCTCAACGCGGGCGAGGAGGTCTCTCGAGATGGGCTGATTGGCAATCACCTCAGCGTAGAATTTTGCGGGAAGCTGGTCCAGGATAGGACGAGTGATGCGAGGGTTGTGCCGGGGTTCCGGAGGTTCCGTGGAGCCTGCAGTGGCTCCCGCATCCGAGCCGGGGATAGGGGGCTCCACACGGAGAGCTTCCGCCCTTTCTCTTGCCTCTCTTCGAGCACGGGCCCTAGCTCCTATAGTGCGAGGAATCACATCTTCCCTCCCTATCAACCTCAACGTATCCCGCGCTTCTCGGGTTTTCAGAGCGCTGGGCCGGGGCAATTAGCCCACATTCATGAAGAAAGACCGTGGCCTCATGATCGGCCCAACCTTCCTCCACAAGGTCTGCCCTGAAGACGTAGTTCAAGTCTCCCGCCTCCTGAACTCCCAGATCATAGAGGCCTTGAGCCCTGGACTCCAAGCTCAGTCGGACGAGAGCTTGGATTATCACCGGATCACGCATAGATCCTAAGCTCTGAGGGAGCTGGAGCCGGACGAGGAAGAGGATCCCAAGGATGAGATCTGGGCCTGAGAAATGGTCTGGGCCTCGACATCTGTCACTTCATCCGGTTCATCACTCTCCTCCTCACTTTCTTCTTCCTCCTCCTCGGGTGCTTGCGAGAGCCTTTTCCTTTCAGGCGGCTGGCAGGGGGAGGGTCAGAGTCTGCAGGCATCGGGTCTAACACCCCTACCCCAGCTCCTATTAGCCCTTCCGAGGAACCCGAAAGCTCATGACCATCAGGGCCAAAAGAGTTCAGCTCCTCATCTCGCTGTCTTATCAGGGCCTCGGGATCAACCAAATCATCCCTGAAGTTCTTAACCACCGTGGTATTACCATTGGGCTTGAGAACTGAGTGCCCTCCTGGAACGAGGATGGAGGGGGAAAGGTAGCGGCCTTCGGACCAATGATCCCAGGGCTTGAGCATAGGCCTCTTGAAAACGATCTTCTTGCTGAAGTGAGGAGGCGGAGTTGCTCCGAGAAGGGAAGCCTGGTGGGCCGTAGCAGTGTGGACCATGGCATAGGGCCAGAAGTTTGGTTCCAGATCAGCGCTGGTCAACAGGCCGCGAGCTCTCTGCTTGCTCCACCCTACTATGCGTTTCGCTAGGCCGTTGGCCTTTTATCATGGGCTTCGCTCATGGTTACGCGCACTCCCATTTGCGACAGCCACAGTTTCAAGTTGTCGCTCAAAAACTCCCGACCCTGGTCGGAGTGAACGTTCTTCACTGGGAAACCAAGCTTATTGATCTCCTGAACCATAGAGTGTATGGCCGCCATGATGGAGGGGCCTTTGCGAGATGTCATTGGTCTGACCAACCGAAGAACGACCTGGGGAACCGGGTGCTTAAGGCTGTCAACGGCCTGCTGGAGTTCCTCCTCAGGCTGGGAATCAACCTCCAGCTCGACGCTCACAAGCGATCTTTCTGCGTCCCGGTCAGCCTGTTCCCACTCCTCCTCCAGAACCTCATCCTCTTGACCCTCCTGGATCGGCAACAAAGCTTCTTAAGTTCACCCCCAAGATATTCATGTGCCGAAGCCAGCTCAAACATGGAGTCCCTGAAGAGGTCTGTCAAGTCCCTTTTAGGGTCCCATCTTCTCCGAGCACATCCTCGGGAATTCTGTACGCTCCTATCAGGGCATACTTATGCCTAGGTTGGGCAGCGACCGAATCTTCAAAGATTCCCTTCTGGATGGGTCCCAGGACATCTAGGGACAGAGAGAAGGAATTTGGGTGGGCAACCTTACGGTGTTGAAGCCCCACCCCTGATCCCATCACGCAAGCCTTGCACTTCCTGTTGAAAGGCAGGCGTCCGTTTTGGACGTGGCGGCGCCACTCTTCAGCATCCATTGCAGCGGCAGTTGGTCCTGCCTCACCTGCGCCTTGCGACTCTGGCAAATGGTCGTCAGAGCTGGCCGCGGGCCGAGCTTGCCTGAGAGACTTACGCACCTTACGGTCGATTTCCCTCAGCTTTCCTTCCGAGATCGGTTGAGGTCTTTGAGGCAAAAAGGATTGAGCTGCCTGGGCTTGGAGAGCAGAGTTGCACAAGCTTCGACCAAATCGGTGCGGCAGTTGGTGAACACAGTCACCCTTCCTCCCACAGCAGAAGTTTCCTTGAGATGGGCCCAGCGCTGAAACTTGGGCCACCAAGCTTCCGAGAAAAGCCTGGCCGAGTCTGACACAGTCATCAGACGGACCGTGTACCCCCTGCTGGCGGAGGCAATTGCCCACAGCCACGAAACCTGCACCAGAAGCTCAGAGCGGGATGCTAAGTCGGCTGACAGGCCGATGATCCTTCCATGGACCGCGGCCCAAGCAAGGGAGGCTCGGAGAGGGGAACCTGGCTCAAGGCTGCTGTGGGGCTTAGACAGGTCAATGTGAAGCACCTGTGCATCGGAGCACGCAGTCAGAACAGTTTCGCTGATGCCCGGAAGATCCTTCCCAAACTGAAGGTTCACAAACCAGTCCTTTGATTGCTCCAACGCTCGCCGGCGGCGGCGGGGAAGCGAGAGTAGCTATGGTGTGCAGGTGCTGGTGCTCAAAGACACCACACAAGAGGGCTGTCTGCATTACATCTGCCCTCGTTCCACCCTCCTTAGCTCTCTCCACAGCCTTAGCCAAAGGAACCCTGGACGTGAGAGCCCTGAGCACGGTCTCCGTCTCATCTACTTGGCCACGCAGCTTCTCAAGGCGTCGCTCTTCCAATTGCTGGATGAGCTCCAAGGTGTCACGATAAGAGCTATGAGTGAGGCCTTGTATAGGTCAAGAGTGGAGGCACGCTTCGCGTACTCCATCTCTAGGTGTAGGACTGTGGGCATGCTACGCATACCACAGTGCCGAACCACTTTTACCATATGCCGCCCATGCAATTTTGGCTCAAGACTGAGCACAAGCTCTAGAAAGCATTGCCGATAGCTGAAACAGCTTTTCGTCTTCTGTGACCTTTCCGAGGAATAGAGCCATCCCGAGCACAGACGATCCATCGCTGGCCGCGAAGGTGGAAAACAAGCGAGCTCTGGATCTGCCTGCCCTCGGAGTAGAGCTTACACGTGGGAGTGAAGGTGAGAGCATATCGAGTCTGTTGAGGGCAACCACATCATTACCCAATAGCTCGGTGGGGTGAGCGACAAGGAACATCATCAAGACCAAATCCCCACGCACGTGAAATGTATACGATAGTAAGTATATTCTAATCATGGAACTTGACTCGAGCACCAGGATGCCATGCTATGCGATGGTTCGTCTTGAGTTGAGCCACCGTGAGGACTCCGCTGGCTGGTGTGATATGTCGAAATCGAACATATCTCAGTGCGATTGCGTTGCTGCTGACTGCAACTTTGCCGACTTTTGGCCCGGGCTTTAGACTTGAGGTCCCCCGCATGGATCTGCTTGGGTCTTGGGTTTGCAGTTGCACAGTCTTGGGGAAATCCTTCCTCTTGGCAAAGGCTTTTTGGAATTGCCATTTCTGATCTGGGGTCAGAGGCTGTTCGTCATTGTCCGCTTGCATCAGACATTTCTTGTGGGCACAGAGGTACTGCCTATGGCTTTCCAGATGATTTCTATTGCCACTGCGACACCCGGGAAAGGTGTTTGGCTGCCGGATTAGAATTCAAAGTCCACACTTGTGCGGAGGAGATGTCCCAGCACCGTGGCTTTGAAGGCTAGAGTTACAGATGTTCAACGTGTGTCTGTACTTCCAGTTCAATTTGCGAAGGCTTGCTAGTGTCCACAAAGTCAAACCAGCGCGGAGAGAGCGAGAGCAGAGCACAGAGAAAAGGAAACTACCCTGCGATGTTTGCCAGGTTAACGTAATCCCTTTTCCATCATGTTGAACTGCGCGGCCCCCCTTCCTGGCTTCCGGCAGAACATCATATCTTGGAAGGGGCTGCGTAGCAAATGTCTTCACGCGTGGAGCGTTATCATACTGCCGCTCATCAAAACCTTCCAGCAGCTGGCCGCGTTGTACGACCATGGACAATCTCTTGAGGCTTTCTTGATGCTCGAGCTCCTGTTACGACTAATTACTACTCTGGTTCAACGTGCCAGCGGGGTGTTGTTATTGCGAAAGTAGGAGGAGTGGGCTGCTCTCTGAGGACACAAGCAAGGCATCAAATCGCAAGTCTTCGTTCTCGGGGATATTCCAGAGCCTTGAGATGGTGGGCCACTTTTTCCCCGCGTCAGGTACATCAAGGATGCTGAGTATCCTCCACTCATCTTGACTGCAAGAGAAGAGGGCTGTGATGGCGTGGTGACGTCATGGCACACGCACGGAGCTCAGATGCGCATTTCTTCAATGCAAATGGTGACGTCGAAGAGTTGTCAAAAGTCATGGCATCCGAACAGATTGATGATCCACAGCTAGAGACGTTGTCACGCCTTCCCTGAATGCGATCTCCACCTCCATGTGGCTCAAGCTTCCACGATTCTATGCGCTGCGCAGGAGCCTGGCCATGGTGTTCGAAAGCATGAGCACGAAGTGCTGTGCATCCTGGCCAGTGAGGCCCGTCAGCTGGGCTCAAGTAGAAATTTAATTCCTTTATGCCCAAACCGACTCCCCCAGATGAAGAGACTCCTCAAGACCTGATGAGGAGAAGTGTGCCAAATGAGTTTGTCCAACTCTTCATGAGTCTAATCCCACGGAGGTATAGCTCTTCGTAGCGTTCTCTTTTGATCCACAGCACAGCACATGACATGGAATTGACCTTGCAGGCGGTCTTTCACAAAATCCTAAAACCTGACCTAAACCTTTTTTTGCAACTCGGTCCAGGCTATGCGATCCACAGGCGGAGCTCGTGACGCCCTGCCAGGACGTCAAAAAAGCCCGCCCGAGCGGCGACTCTTTTTCTGTAGAAAATCGGAACATGATGTGTGTGGGTGTATACACATATATATGTATACACATATATATGTATATATGTATATATGTATATAGAGATATGCCAGAATAAAACATGTAAGATATCATAGGATAGATTATATAGAATAGCATATCATATTATGCTAGATTTATCATATTATGTTCAGTGTTGTGTCACACACTATATAGTATTCGTGCACCATGTCGTCTGGTCAGTTGGAGTAGGACGTAGTTCAAGCTTTCCAAGTTCTGATTGAGATTCCCAACAGCTTCCAAAGCGAATCCTTGAGCCTTAAACTCTTGCAACCCTAACCCCAAAAACATTCCGAAGTCGGACTTGCTGCATCAGGAGCCCTCAGACTTCAAACCGAAAGCACTACTCTCGACAGGCTGCTTGTGTCTTGAAATCCCAGACCCAAGCGGGCCTAAAGCTCTTAAAGGGTTTAAACCCGTAAACCCTTATAAACCTGCGAAGCCCTAAGCCCTGCAAGCCCTAGGGCCGAAAGAGCCCCAATCCCCCAAGAAGCCCAAGACTCGAAGTGTGCGAGGTCACTCCTGCTTGGATGAGATAAAAAACTCCACGGAGGAGTACAAACTCTTGGAGCTCGCCGCGTCTGAAGGCTCGATCTTTTTGAAAAGTCGTTGTGGGGTTCTCATGACGGGCTACGACAAGAAGGGTTACTAGAAGGTCGGAGAGCTAACAAGGTTCTGTCGGTCTACTAAACAGGTTATTGCAACAAAGAATTACGTTAAGTTTGCACGTCCATGTATACATGTATGTGTATCTGTGCCAGGGCCCGGTGAGAGGTGTTTCGAAAGTTTGGGGTTTAGAAGGTTTAGAACGTTTATCAGTTCCAAGTGCCCGTGACAAAACGGCGAGTCAATGAACTGAAGCACTGACCAGCCTTTTTGCAAGGAGCACTTGACCCCAAACCCCCCCAGCATTGTAAACTTTCGTCACTTATGGCATGCGGCATGAAGCGAACTCTTGGATGCAAAGTCTGATTCTACCGTTCTACCAGGCTGCAAGGAATCGGGGCTGAGCTCCGGTGTGAAGCTGGAAGAGTGGGTGCGGAGCATCGCCGCCATCTGCTGCAAATCCTTTCCGGCCAACATATGCCGCACAACCAGCAATAACCTGCGTGCAGCTGCCATAGGAAGGATTCTTGCCGCTGACAGCCAGCAGCCAGCGTGAGTTGAGCCTAGGCAAGCCTGTCGCGTGACCGAGAGCAGATACGGCATGGGGCAGGCAGAACAGCTGCCTCCTGCGTGTCTGAAAAGCCGTTTTTCACGATCACTGCAGTGGCCCTGTATGGCCCTGCACCGTTCCGTAAACGGACCAATTACATCGAGGCTTCTTCGTGCTCCGGCGGCTACAGTGCGAAGCCTGAAGGGAAGCGGCTGTGGCCAGATCTGGGGACCTGGAAACCTCAGATTCTGGATGGAAACAGGCTGCGCAGGAGCCGCAAGAAAATTGACAAACAGGTGCTCTGAGTAGGGTTTCAGACGGCACGAGTGTCAAGGACACAGCCGCATGTGTCGAGAAGCAACAGAACCACACAGCAGACCCTCTGCTTGTTGATCCGGCCTGGTTGCAGTATTGGCCCAAGGTTTGCGTTGTACATGTGTTTTCTGAGTACCATCCCGGCAACCGCTCTACGGACGTTTTCCATGCGCTTGATGTTGCCAGAACTTCAAAGTCAGGAAAGTTGTTCTTGCCGCCGCCATGGACGTTGACAGCACGACAGCAGATCATTCGATGGAGGCGCTTCGCAGTTCGGCGCACCTGTCCTGTAACCCTCGCCAATCGTTTCTCTATGAGACTCAGCTGCGTGCTCTACACACGCAGAGGGCGCGTGTCCAGGACCCGCGAGAAAGCCACGGGCCGCTGAAGCCTCCCCTAAACCTCCAACAGGGGAGGATTTTGATTCATTGACTTTCTGTGGCCTTTCGGGAGAATTTTTGTGCGGGTGAGACCTACAGGTGCAGGGACAGAAAAGAGAGAAGCACGCAGCTCCGTACGCAGTGCGCGCTGTACGGCGAGGCTCCTCGTGAAGGGGAACTGTTGCTTCCTTGGGCCTACACCTCAGCCACAGCGGTCGAATGCAGATGCCAAGGACGTTCACGAGGGCGACAACAACTGAGGTGGAAAAGTACCGACCGTCATCGCTGGATCAGCTTGTGGCGCACGAGGTGCGCCATCTGCAGCGTGGTTTGGCTTGCCTTGTGCACCATGGCGACGGGACCCCGTAAGGACATCATCCGGATGATTGAGAGGATGATGGCAAAAAAGACATTGCCGCACATGTGCGGGGCCCACGCCGTATTTGCTTGTGCTTGGCGCATCTTGGGGCATCTTGGCGCTTGACCGGCCTTCGGTTCTCAGGCTGCTGCACGGCCCTCCGGGTACGGGCAAAACATCGACGATCATGGCCCTGGCCAAGACAATGTGTCTCTTCTGAATATGCCCAGCGCCCCAAACCGGGAGCATTTCAAAGATGCATGTTTCGGTGGCAGGTACAAACAGCGATACAAGTCCATGACCTTAGAGATGAATGCCTCCGATGCGCGTGGCATCGACGTGGTTCGCGAGCAAATCAAGACCTTTGCCCGTACCCTGGACACAGCCGGACACAGCCGGAGAGCACGAAGGACGGTGCCTTAGCTTTCTTTCAGGTGAGTGTGAAGCAGTTGTTTGGCTCCGTGGACGGGCAGCCGAAGCTGGTAATCCTGGACGAGGCATTCAGGGGCCTCAAGTGGAGAGGAGATAAAGATGGAGTGGAACGGAGAGTCTCTGTCTCTGGCGAGGCTGACAACATGACAAGTACAGCGCAGTTTGCCCTGCGGCGGATGATCGAGCAGTGCCTCAATTCTGTCCCTGCGCAGCCTTCATTGGAGAGCCGTCGAACGCCAGGTATGCTTCCAACTGCCGCTTTATATTGATCTGCAACTACAGCAGTAAGATCATTCCAGCATTGCAGTCGGAAGCCTACATAGTACCGGCTTTTCAACCCTGCACGGCCCGGATCCGTCATGGATCAGGTCGCGATGCACAAAGCTTCGCTTCGCGCCACTCTCAGAGGACGGAGATAGCTGAGACACAGGTAACAGGAGGTTAGCTCCAAGCATCAGCTCAGTTTGCGCAGGAACAAATCCTGGGCAGGCTCGAGTATGTTGCAAAGGCAGGACCTTCCGATCCACAAGCCAGCAAAGCCGGTGGGGAGTTGTTGTGATCGCTCCCATCTTCAAGTTAACGCTCGATCAAGCCGCATTGAATCTGGTTTCCCTGACCCAGTGCGAAAAGATCCAGCTGACACAAGATGGCGCAAAGGCCATTGTGCAGGCATCGAAGAAAGGCTTATGTTCCGGCTCCACATCTTTATCTCCAAGCTGTGAGGTTGCGGGTGGCGACATGCGAAAGGTTCTGAACGTCTTCCAGACCACCTCCATGGGCCGATGCCTCCCAGAGCAGGACCGCCGATTCGACCCGAGTCCCGAGTGGCCCAAGGACATGGTGGTCGTGTGGATGCTGGCGCCGTGTACGCTTCGACAGGGGTTCCAGCTCCGGAGGTGCAATCATGCGCTGAGACGCACTTCTGAGCAGTCACCGGGCATCGCCGTCTTTCGTTGCTCGCTCCAGGAGATCGCCCACTTTCTGCGAACACTTCTGAATGGCACGGTTTGGAGCCCGTTTGCCGAGAATCACGGCAGTGGCAGTGCTGCATGATTTTGGCTAGCCGAGTTGCGTGCCTGAAGGTGTCGTATGCTGCTTCTCTGAAGTCGCTGAAGAGCCTGCTGGGCTCTCAAACTGTCCTGGTCCAGCAGTTGCATGGTGGGGCTCGCCACGAGGCTGCATGCCAAAGGCTACGCTTTGGATGACTTCTTGCAGCTTGGCGATGGAGTTTGAGTCGGGTGAGTCACCAGTCTGGTTCTTCCATTCGCAACGTGCCCGGATCTAAAGAGGCAGCTGATGCACAAGCAGATCGTGGCCCTGGACTTGCCGGTCAGGGCTGCCACACTGCCAGCCTCTACCGGTCTTCTGTTCTCGCTCTTTCTCTGCCGCAGGTGCGGCAACGCTTGCAGTTGACGGTGGCCCTGGCCGACGTCGATTGGCGTCTGAAGCAGGCGCCACCATAGGCCCACCGTGGTCGTGATGCTTCAGACTCAACAGTCTCGTGGAGGGATGCAGCGACGCCATCCAGCTGGCGGCCATCGTTGGCATCTTCCACGAGGCAGGGAAGGCAGCGGGGCCCAGGCTCGGCCCAGGCCCAGGCACTTCTTGGATTTCTTGGCGTGTCCGAAGGCGCGGTGCCTGGGCGGCGCCTAGGGTGGGGCCGGGGGCCTTACACCCTCAGCCCACTCGCGCACGAGTTGGGATTTGCTCAGGTTCGAGTTGCCAATCCGGGGAGCCGAGCACTGGCGATTGGCAAAACAGTCCACAGGGCAAACAGCGCCGAACCTTTTGCCGGCACTTAAGGCCTCTGTCTCGTTTTGTCTCCGCAGGAATTCGGGCTAGAGGAAAGTCGGAAGACTGCGCAGCTCATACCATGCTTAGCCACTGCAGTCGAAGTGTTTGGCATATCTTGTCCGGGGCAGAGTTGCTGCAACTGCCGCACTGCTGTGCATGCCTGACCGCCTAGCCGTGGCATCCCGCGAAAGAGCCAATGGGCCACTGGATTGCACTGGATGAACCCGCAAATGCTTCGTGTCTCGACGGGCCCCTGATAACAGGCCTTGCAAGAGTCACTCAGCGGAGGAGATCCTCGAGACAGTCCCGCACTCGCGCGATGTTCTGGCTTCGCGCTGAAAGCCCCTTTCTGACGGTGCTGGCCCCCTTGCTTTTGCAAGCCAGAAGCCAGGAAACCGGACATGGCCTGCTTGCCTGCAGTGCAGGATGCCGAGGGGTAAACCATGTTTGGCCATATATGTTATGTGGCGGTATTCACTGGGGCAAATGGATTGCGTTCACGAGTGAATGACCGGGCGAGTGCCACGCTAAGCTGGGAGTCCGGGGCTTCATGGCGAGTCTTTGCAAATCACATTCTCGACCCGACCCCTTTGGGGCAAATCATGCAAAAGGACGCAGCAGAGATGTGCCGGGCCGACTGCGGCCACGGCTTTGCAATATACCTATTTCGAGCCCAGAAATTTGTCGCTGAGGATGCTCGTAGAGTCAGTAGGGACTGCTTTCTGGGATAAGGTCGATCGCAGTCACATTCGTCCCACTGGTAGAGATCGTCGTGCGATGGCCTGCCAGGACTGGCTTGTGTCACGGTTGCATCCTTGCCATTTTCTTGCCATTCGTGTTGTAGTGAAGTGGTCAAGTACTGCCACGGCTGCTTCATCGAATGTTGTGATATGTTGTGATGAGGGGCACTTGACCAAGCCCGCAATGCACGTGGGTTTCAAATGCCCCGACTGGGACAAGTAAACGGGATCTAAGGAGCGCAAGGCGTCCGCCCGAGTGCAGGGAATCCGTGTCCGTTGCGGTTGTGCGTGTACAGTGCCAAGTCTCGCTGCCGTGCCACTTGTGCCTCGGACTTGCACAGACCCACGGGGCCGTTCGGTGCTGTGATTGCAGGCGCCGGGGGCGGGGGCACCGAAGCCGGGCCTCAGCTCGTCGGAAGCTTAGGCAACGGAGCGTCTCGATATGCGAAGTGAAGCTGTAGTCTGTCCGCTGGTCAGCTTCTTCAGAGCTTTGACATTGACCTGGTGGTTCAGAGAATATCTGAGTCTGTTGAATCTACCGCTCTCGCGGCTGCAGCTTTTGGCACAGAAAGCCTGCAGCTGGTCCCGGCCGAAAGCATGCCTATCGGCATGATGCCCCTTGGAACCCCTCGTGAAGACGATTGTGACAATCTCCACCCGGAGCTCGAGGGGCCTGAGATGCATCGCCTGCGGATGCAAGGACGCGGCCTCAGTAAAGGTGGTACCTGCACACTTGTGAGAGAAAGCTGCGGCGGTGGCTTCACGAAGCGACATGTCATGTTCCGAGAGCATCTCATCTCTGAGGCCAGTTGAAAGTCATCGGCCTCGTCCATGCACTGGGACTACTGGGACTGGGACTGCCGTTGTGGGAGTCGGGGGGGGAGGCCTCCAAGCGCTGCAACCGCCTAGGCGGTTGCCAGCCCTGTGCTTTCGTTGGCCGCAGGGAGGGCTGCCAGAAGATGGAGTGCAAGTTCTGCCACAACCCCGTGCATGCCCAAGAGCAGAGGCGCAAAAAGCAAGCGGCCACGAGGCTCCGCTCCGCTGACCATCTGGCCGAGCTGCAGCAGAAGCCTTGGAAGAAGAGCTCCTCGCGAACTGAGATGCATCCGCTGGGGTAGATTCCCGCCATGGTTCGGGCCAAAGTGCCCGGGGCCGGTTTCGAGCCGTCTCGCATCCGTTCTGCCTACTTGTAGTTGTGTCGAGGCCCGATGCTTACACGTTCCAGTTTCAGTCGGATGGCCTGTAAGCAGGCCAGGCCTCGAGCACTGTCGCTTGCAATCACTGTTGCAGGTGATTCTCCATCTGGATTTATCTTCTTCTGTGCCGTTGAATGTCGACCCCAGATAAGTGACACGGAGGGCTCTTAAAGAAGGCATGAGGTGATCTTGCTTGTTGTCTGTCGGTTCTCGAGCACCTCCAATTTCAATGGGGTCGATGCGTTGGCCAAAGCACCGCCATTGCGCTTCTCGGTGAGACGGAAAACAGAGACAACGCTCAAGAAAAGCCTGTCAAGCCATACCTCAACCATAAATCTTTGTTCCCAAGGTCTGGATGTGCCTCCTACGCCCGTCGCTGTTCTGAAGCACGGGAGCTTCTTGGCACTGGAGTTGCCTGCTGTGTTCCAGTCCGCAGCGAGTCAGATTGTGTTGGGCTCTGATCCCAAAACTGCCACATCAAGATACGACTGCACATTATCATATTTATGAACTAAATACATTTTTGCTGTATAAACTTCTGGTGTCTGCCTCCATACTATTGGAAGCCGGGAGTTTGTGCTCAGCCCCGTTCCATTCCATGCTTTTCGGATTTCGGAGTTTTGGGCATGAGGTCGAGTTCTACTACATCATGCAAGAGCGTGCTGATTCAGAGAAATGCCTGGGCGATTCTAGTCGAAAAAGAGGACCATCGACGATGAAGCATTGCTGCGGGTTTTCCGCCGCCACATCTTTCTTGACAAGCGCAGCTAACAGCACAAGCTCACGATTTCTCGAACACAGTTGCATGTGACTGGTGCACGACAGATTCTTTCTGGAACCTTCACAGCAACTCAAGCTGAAGACTCAATGTGCAGCCCTGGCCCCCGCCCCAACACCCTCAAACCCTAACGGCCTTACCCCACAAGTTGTGGGGAGAAGCCTTAAGATTGCTTGATTGGGGTCTGTTTGGTTTGAAGCTCCGCAAGAGGGTTTTTCAGCGATAGTTCGAAGGGGCCCGGGCCGAGCCCCGAGCGAGATTCGCTGCTGTCGGATGTTGCTGCGATGAACGGTTGAAGCGGTTGCAGTCAGCGTCATCGCCTCGTTGCCGAGTGTTCAGTTGTGGGGCGCGACGTAGTGAGCCATACAGGTGAGAGTTTGTGTGGAGTTTTTTAATCAGCGAGCCAGAGACAGAGTGGAGTTGAGTGTGCGAGCAACTCCGTGTGCAGACGGCACGAAGGAGCAAAAAGGTGGAGAAGCTGGCCATTGTAGTGCAGTGTAACAGTGTAACCGTCGAGTGGGGAGAGCGAGCATGTGAGCAAGGGTGGTAGAGGGAAAGGGGCGAGGGAGGGAGATGGAGGGAGAAACCGAGTCAATGCACACTCGCACCCACACCACGCAGACACCCCCACCCGCACCCGCACCCCGTGCTCACGAAGCAGCTTAATGTCCGAACCCTGGGGGTAGCGCAGGCAGCCCGATAAACGAGGGGAAAGCTGAAAGCTGCAACCACCTGGAACACACGTGCATGTGGTATTTTTTTCCGGCAGGCTGCGAGGCATCCCTGTCTCAACCCTGGCTCATGTCATGTCACGCATGAACTGCAGAGTCGCTGTGGCGGCAATGGGGGCCATTCGTCAAGAGCAGAGCGACCCTCGCATGACACAAGAGACAGAGAAACACCGCGATCGAAGCGTGATTTGCGCAAGTCTTGCAGGAGTAGTCTGACTGATCTGCCGGCGTTCCAGGCTTTCTGTGGCTCAAACAGAAGTCCCCGTCAGGGACTGTGAGCAGTGGCATGGTTCGGCAACAACAACTTGGAATGAGGCGAGTCTGTTGCAAGGTTGAAGAAGGCAGGATCTGCACTCGTCTGTAGCACCAGGTGAATGCGATGATCCGATGGAAGTGGTTACTTGCCCACGCCCTGCTCTGAGTCTCTCGAAGTTCCGAAGTGTCCGGGCCCGTGCGTTTTGCGCTTCAGACCTGGCTGCCTTGGCTGGTGTCTGCGACCGACCACTGCTACAAAGCTGCAGAGCATTGCAGAGCCTCGAGGTTGGAGCAGCGTGTGCCTTTGCTTTGCAAATGAGGCCATGCCATGTTGCCGCCCGGCATCCTGCTCGGAACGGCGCTGCTCAAGGATCAGGCGGGTGCCAGACCGGAGCGCAGGATAATCTTTCATGTTGCTGTTGCTGTGGGTTCTCATTCCCGGGCGTGGGACAGTCCGCCGAGTTCTGTGAATTTTGCTGGCCAGCATCCTTGAGGACCCTGCCGTAACCTGCAACGCAACGACCACCACTCAAACGCAGACAAGCACATCGTCGAGCTCTAGCAGCGAGTCGTCCACCTCAACCACCACCTCAATTTCAGTTTCAACGACCACTCTCACAAACTTGACAAACGAAACGACTACAACCTGGACAAGCACCACTACGGATTCGACAACCACAACTGAGACAGCAACGGCGAGCTCGACCACAACCACTACCACAACCACAAGTAGTGCTTCGTCTACAACTACATTGTCATCGACAAGCACCTCGTCGACAAGCACGACGAGGTCCTGGACATCCACTTCAAGCACTGCATCTTCCACTACAAGCAGCACGTCTTCCACCACGAGCCGCACAACTTCCGTCACCAGCAGCTCCTCGGTAACACAGTCATCCACTACAAGCACGTCGGTCACGCGTTCCTCTTCCACAAGCTCCACAAAATCAGTAACATCTACCTCATCACGAACGGTCACCAGTAGTACCCATACTCTGACAAGCACAACCACTCAGTCAAACACAACGACCAGTGGCACCGAGACGTCCAGCAGCACCTCCACCACGTACACTTCGTCGTCAACGACGACGCAAACGGGGTCGTCTTCAACGACTCTGTCGACGACCTCAACATCCTCAACTTCGACCATGTCTTCCTCAACAGACACCACCTCCACAGACACCACGACATCAGAGACTAAGACATCAAGTACGTCAACTTCTGCTACTGTGTCCGTCACTTCGTCCACAAAAACTGTGTCGACGACGCTGTCCTCGACATCACTGTCGTCAACGAGTTCCACAAACTTCAACATTACGCTGACGACATCCACTACTGCGACAGACACTTCCACGACCACTTCGACAAGTGCCAGTATCACATCTAGTACACGCACAACGTCGACAGCATCATCCGTGACCTATACTACCACCACAAGATCGACGTCCAGCAGCACCACTGTCAGCAGCACAAGCACGATTTCGAACACAACTGCTACAACTTCCTCGACCACCACCTCAACAACACGCACCGTGAGCTCGTCGACGATCTCGAGCACATCCTCCTCCTCCACCTCATCGACGAGCAGCAGCTCTTCGAGCTCCAGTCCCTCGGCAGAGCATGACAGAGCCGGCAGAGCCGGCAGAGTGAAGAGGGCGGTCGCCTCGCCCTCGCTTAACCGAGGTGTCACCAGCAGCTCCAGGCCCGAGCAAACGAGCAAAGCAGCAAAGCAACTCTGGGCTCCAGTGTCTCTGCACAAAGCTGTGTACCTGTGCGGCAGCTCCTCGAGCACTAGCTCCACGACGACGACCTCCACAACCACCACCCTGAAGTTCTGCGACACACGTGGGGGCGCCCGGCTTGCCGAGAATGCGGAGAGACCTCAACCCGCTTTCCTCGCTTCAAGGCGATATCTGGCCAGGCTCCGTGGGGAGCCCCGTGCGATCGGCGACCCCTCGCATCCTCTCTCCACTCTTACGACTCTCTCACTTGAGTCTCAGCGAGGCTCACTGCACCACCATGGCAGCCTGTTCTCTTTCGCAGGCGTGAAGTTCTTCACGGGCAGCTCCTGCAACTCTGTGGGTCGGGGGTTTAGCCGCGGCGGCTCGCAGCTCCAAGCTAAGAGCGCGGCATGTCCGAGGCCGAGGCGGCTTCTGCGAGCTGCTCTTCATCGAGATGTGGGCCGAAAGTCTTCAGGCGAGTGCGGGGACACTGCGCTAGCGGCCGCTAGCGGCTAGCGACGCACTTCGAGAGATGGCCCTAGGAGTGCTACGAGTCCGGCCTGACTCAATTCTTCTGTCCCATGGATGATGCCGGGAGCTGAGTCGCCGCAGTCGCCCCATGCTTCGGAGAAGCGCATGCGCAAGCATGCGCAAAGCGCAGGACATCACGCTGATCCCCATGTCGCGGAATCTGCTCTGCAAGGTGCAAAGACCGGGCCCGAGCCCCCAAAAGTAGCCTCAGCTCACTGCAGGTCTGCAGCATCGAGGCCTTCGTGGACAGCGACCCGCGGGCGGGGGTCCTCACAGGCCGCCTGCACTTCGGGCCAAACCAGCGAGGTGGGGACCGAGGAGGCTGAGGAGGCTGAGGCCCAGAAACCCCAATTAAACTGGGACGAGGTGGGGAGGCCGACGAGAGCCTTCTATGGGGCTACCGGCTGACGTTCGTGGATGCATGCCTCTGACTAAGTTTGACGAAAGGCGATGCTATGGCTCACGAAACTGACTGGTGCTTCTGTGATGCGAGTCTCCTGAGGTGGGGCGGAACTATCAGAGTTTGGTAAGGCTGGCTGCGAGGTTGGAAGCACTGATTCCAAAGGGCATTCTGCAACAGCAGGTTCCAAAGCGCACCTACCCCCCGGCCGTCTGCTGTGATCCCTGGCGCTACAGAACCTCGGCTGTGTTCAGCTTGCCGGAGTGTGTCGTGGAGTCCCCGAGTCCCTGGTCGTTAGAGAATTAAAGCCGGAGGCTTTGATCTGGAGTCCGTGGCTGCTGGCACCTCAGCTCGTGCCAGCAGATGCAGGTGGCCTTCCGGCTCTTTGGCTCGAGGTTCCTGCTGGCGCAACGGCCATTCAGATAAGTCCGTACAAGGCTGTGCTCGCTCTCGTTGTCGCTGTCCTTGGCGAAGCGCGAAACTGCCAGTGGAGGAGAATTGGCATCTGCTGGGAGGAGCCGGGGCCCCGAAACTAGCTTCCCCCGCTTCAGGATGCCTTGCGAAGGAAGGCCGCTGTTGCAGGCTGCTGCAGCCTGCAGACACCCAGGCCTCTGTCGGCTTCGTCGATCTTCAGGTTTCTTCGTCCACCACGACAAGTCAAACTACGCCATGGACTCACCCTGATGGAACGTCTCAAAGGGCTTCTTGTGGTACTGGTAGCGTGCTTCATGACTGGAGGTCTTTCACGAACACCACCGCAAGCACAACGTGAGGGGCTGAGATTTCCATGATAGTCCACGGCCATAGCAGGTGCAGCTGTCAATCGCGACGTGCTTAGGACAACCAGCAACAGCACGGTCACGGGCACCACAACCACATCCACGTACTCCAGCACCAGCTACACAACCACCAGGCCCGGAAAAGATCCCGGACTGCGATTCCGAAGAATGCCGTCCGCTTCTCAGGTCAGCGACAAGCGTCACCACGCTGTCCAGCTCCACCGTTACCACGGTAACTGTTTCGGCCGTGCCTGGACTGCAACACCGTGAGAGTGAGAGTGTGCCGACGCGGTGTTTTCACGGACATGCCGTGTGAGACCACGACGACCGGAACTCTCACAGCCAGCAGAGCGCCGAAGCCGGCCGGGCCCTCGCAAGCCCTCGAGTCGCTTCGTGCAGCGGCGCTGACAGAGCCCAGGACGGGTTGAGCGTCCTCGCGCTAGCAGCGCTAGCACTCATGCTCGCGCCAGTCATATGAATTCAGAGGGCTCGCCTTTCGCCAAACCGTGATGGAGGCGTGTTGTGCGATGTTAACGAAGTGGCCCAGGCACCCCTGGGTGCGTTTCACTGCCCGGAGAGCATTCGGAGCACGCTCTAGGTGTGCGGAGCTGGCCGAGCAGAAAGAGAGACGAGAGTGACACTTGCCGCAGAGATGACTCGCACGCGGAAGCTTCGAGCATGAGCCATCGTTGACGTAGCATATCCTCTGCAGCTACGAAATCTCCTCACATGTGCACGTCACATGTCCTTTCACTTGTTGAGTTTACATATGCACGTTGGGGACTTTGCAGCACTTTGGAAGAAGTTGCTTTGCAGGGCTGAGGCGTGTTCAGCACCGTGAGCTGTCGGAGCAATGCTTCGATGTGTCTCAACCCTCACGTGCAAGGCGTCACGAGAAAGCTGGTTGTGCGAAGCTTTTCTGCACTACCACAGCGTTTGCGGGCAAAGCCATCCAAGAAGGAGCTAACACTCTTGATTCATCAGACATCGACTTCCCGAGACATTCTCGAGATCATCAGAGCTCATAAAGACAGACTGGATGCAATCCATGCAATCACATGTCTTTGGAAACTGGGGAAACTCAAAGATCTGAAAGGCACAGCAGAGGTGTCGGATTATCGGGCAGTGATTTCACTCGTGGACGGTCACCTGAAGGACAGAATTGCCACACGTGGTCTCAGCAACATCCTTGTCGCCCTCACGTACATCAACGACGCCTTGCAAAAGTCGCCGGTGTCGCAGCGCCAGAGCAGCCGCGGGCCCGTCTTCAAGCTCGCGAGGAGAGCCGCAAGCCTCCTGAGCAGCCAGGCCAGAGGATGGCACGGGATCTCACGAAGTTCGCATGACAGTCTTCGGCCACCGACACTCGCAATGTAAATGAAAGTGCCTGAGGCCGAGGATGCGAATGCGCATGACATTGCGAATGCCGCCTGGGCCGCTGCGCGCCTGTGGGCCCAAGACAAGGTTTGGCCCAGATTCGGGGAGCCTTTTCTTGGTTTTCTGCGACGTCGCAGGCACAGGCGCAGGCGGCTGGCCGCAAGCCGCCGGGCACTGCGAGCGGCGGCTCGGTCCGGCCGAGAGACGCGGAGCTGCTTCGGGGCTCTGCCGCTTTGCTGCTGCGGCGGCTGGCTCCTGTGGCCCGCCAACGCTTGAAGGCTCGGTAGCCCAGCATCAGATCCTCCTTTCATGACAGAGCTCTGAGACCCGTTTGGATAGTTCAGCCAGCTCTTGAATTTCATCAGCAGCTGCAACTTTGCTGCACGTTTGAGCGGCGATTCCTGTTTGTGTGTCCCAAACTGGAAACGGAACAAGTGGAGAGCTCTGAGAAGGGGAATGACAGCTCTAACACCATTCCAAAGCAAGGGGCACGAGACGTTGCCCGCAGCATAATCGTCGCTGCAGGCGTGCAGCGTGTTTCGTAAGCTTGGTTGACGCACACGGATCGGTCCAGCCATCTCTGGATTTTGGAAAGTCGGGAACAACGGCTTCGGCAGATCCGAAAGCTCTCGGAACACAAGCAGAAGATGCTGTGGCAGAAATGCTTGGCACAGGTAAACTTCTGCAAACTGGGCTCGCTCTAGCATGTCAAAAGAGGCAGGCATGCGCATGGCGGCTTGCCACAAGTGTCAAGATGTGCTTGTTTTGCTCTCGACAGTGAGGCCCATGGGAACGCTTGTTCTTTGGCCTGTTCTGAGCCCCTCCGCTGCGACTAACCATCCAATCATTGGCGCATAAGGAGGCATGATTGGTAGAGTGAGCCTCTAGCAGGGCCTTCTGGCTCGTTGGAAAAGACGAACCCAAAAGGTTCGCCACACCCCAATCTAAGACCATAAGTGAGCAGCAGGCAGTTGCTTAAAGCGGTCCCGACTTCGTTTTGCAAATTCTGCATCGCATGTGAAGCACTATCCATCTGATAGGCGTCCAACACGGCTCACCATTTAGCATTTTTTGCGAAGCCAAGTAAGCGACCGTGCATGATCTGGGCGATCCCATCCCACCAACGAGCCTGGAGGAGAGTCGCGGCCAAGCACCTTCGGTCAGATTTCCACGCATTTCCACGCCCAACAGCTCGAGGTTGTCGAGCAGATCCGAGCAGACAACATGCTGGCAGTCTCGCAGTCCATGTTCCGTTCCTGCAGAGCATCCGCAACAGTTTCTCCGTGTCGCCGAGCTCCGATTGCCATGTTGCGAGCAATGGTCGTTCAAGACAGGGAGAGAGGAGCAAAGCAAAGCAGAGAGAGATTGTGACATATAATCAATCCAACTTTGTCGTCTAAACAGGGGAGAGCACTCAAAACTTTTCACGCTCCTCCAAAAGCCCCACGAACGTCGGGGGGGGCCTTCAAAGCCGAGGGGCTTCAGACATCCCTCATGCCCCGCGGAAGAAGAGATTGTGCCTCAAGTACTGAACCTTTGCTTGGAGGCCTGTGCCACCTCCTTGCATCGGGGGGGAGACGGGGGGGTTAACCTGGACTGTTACTCCAGGGGAGCCTTTCCCGTTTCTCCCAGCGGTGCGTGAGTCCTACGCCTGCCGCCACTTTGCCCAAAGTGCTACCTCACTGACCGCGACCGTAACATTGCAAAGTCTTCAACTAGGAAGCCTCGGAAGGGGGGGAGGCGCGCCACCTCGCCGTCCGTCTGCCTGACCTGTCAGCCACAGGGCGGGGGACACCTTCGCCTCGGAGACCGTGACTTGGGCAACAACGGAGACTTGGCAAACATCACCTACGAGGAGACCATGGCAGGAGTGGGGGAGATATCACTCGAGCATTGAGAGAAAGTGAGCAACAGAGGGGGGCATTTGGCCCCACAAGTTTTTTAGAGGACTTCAACCCTGCTGCAAATGCACTCTAATCCTGACGGGCCGCGGAGCCAAACACGCCACAACTTACGGGCCACATAGCCCAACTGCTTTCGAGACTGCGAGGGCGTACGCTCAGCACGGGGGACCCTGCCACCGTTTTCCTTCACGCCTTACGATGTGACCTCCCCTACAAACTGTGACGCCTTGTTGGTTCCGCTACCTGCCGTCCTGTGAATCACAAGCTGTTGTTGCTAGGATGAAGTGGGGGAGAAAAACTAGAGGACTCTAAACCAACCTTTCTGCGGAAGCACTTTAGGGGGACCATTTTGTGCAGTCTTCAGCTTACCCTCGAATTTGTTGGGGATGCCTGTTCGGTGTAAACCTGTTACTCTGTCCTTGCTTAGTGTACAGTAAGCACCTTAACAGCTCCGAGTATGATGTTCTTGTTGAGCTGCACACTTGATACGAGTTTTGGCAAACCGGTTGCTGCCGGGACTAAGGCAGCCATAGTGGGCGCGGGGACGAGGCCGGGATGCGCAATAAAATTCAGGGTCGGGGGATTGCAACAAAAGGAAACAACTTTCCCGTGCAAACCTCAGGGTTGAAAACCAATCCATGGGACACCAAAGCCTCTACTGTCTGAACCTAAAGAGGGTGGGGGGCGCCTTGGGCGCGAGTCCAACATGCCTGGACCTTGACCCGCAGCAAGCAGGCAAGCAAGATATGTCTTTCACCCCATAATCGCCATAGCCCTGGCGAAAGAAAGAAGGGGAGATATGTTACGGCCGTGTAAAAAAAGAGAGCGAGAGATATGTTATAGAGTTGCTCCTGCAAAAGAGAGAGAGAGAGAGAGAGAGAGAGAGAGAGAGAAAGAAACAGAGAGAAAAAGAAAGGTTTCTTTCCACCTGGTGTTGCTCCCAAGCCACGTGCACCGAGGGCCCAGTGATTTGCTGCTGGGTAGTGCCTCGGTCCCCGGTGCGAAAGAAACCACAACTGTCTGCAGGGCAAGCGGACAATGAAATTTAGAGGGCATGTGTTGTTGGAATGCCAGCTGGCCGGTAGTTACCACTGTGTTTGCCGCTGTCGCTTTTTCACCTGGCTCCCCCAAAACATGTGGGGGGGCGCAAAGCGCCCGGGAAAAGGGTCGCTCCCTCTTCCTCTACCCTCGCGAAAGAGAGAAAGAGTTACCCGTTACAGCTGAGCCCCTCAGTGGAATAACTTCCGGGGGGGGACGAATCCCGCCAAGGACTGCGGCAGACACTTTCTTCTTCCTCAAGCCCGGGAGAGAGAGAGAACGACAGAGAGAGAGAAGGGGAAATCTTTGACCAGTGTCACACAGACCACGTGACCGGTGCGCGGGGAGGGGTTGCACCCTTCGTTGTCCGAATGCAAGAAAGCAAGGGGGACTTCCCCTTGACCACAGCCCTTGCGAAAGAAGGAGGGCTCCGCGAGCGCCGCTTATCGCGACCTTTGGGCTTTCGCTCGCCTTTGCCGTCGCGTTTCCTGCCCCTCGTCTTGACCGCTGCCAGGAGTCCTGTAACGCATCTGTCTGTGCAAAAGCGCCCCACACAGGCTACGGCCATGGCTGCACTGCACAGGTGCGCACTCCACTCTCCCAGGTAACCCGGTCAGAAGGCGTAGATCCTGAGAAGCAGCACGGGCGCCTGATCCGTGTACTGCGACCTTTGATCCCCAAGTTGACGGCGTGCTGCTTTCATACATGAACTTGCCAAGATTCCAGGAGTGACTTTGACTTCAGCAATTCACTTTTCTATGCTGCTGCACACCCCTTCCTTTCGTGGAGAGGCGTTCAGCGCGCAGGCGGGTCAGCTCCCCAACATTTTCACGGATGGAGCTGGGGAGACAGGGCATGCGATAGTGCACGGAATTGCAGGGCTTGGCCAATCTGGCCTGGGCCTTTGCTGCAGCGCCGCAGTCCTCTGCCCGCAGCTCTGCCGGGGGGCCACAGCACCTGAGGATAATCAGCGAAAAGCCACCATAGGATGGAGCCGGGACCGAGGAAGAGCGGGCCTTCAGACGGAAGGTAGAGGAGTCTGGGGCTGAGTGGAGTGCAGCAAAGCAGAAGTGCCTCGGGCGGACAGTTCGAGTGGCTGTTTGAGCGAACTATGCCAAGAGCAGGTAGAAAGGCTCCGGTGTGGGCCTTGCAAGTTGCAAAGCAAAAATGTTGTGATAGTGACAGTGAGGCTCTTCCGCGCTGCAGGGCGCACAGTCCCGCTGCGACTTCTCAGTGATTCAGCCCTCTTAAGTTTCGTCGGCGCTTTGAGGTTGCCGAAACTTCGCGGCCAAAGCTGCAGGCTGCCGGTGAGCAGGATGCCTTCAACGTGCAGGAGATGTTGCGCGCCCAGGGTACACCAACGAGCTCCTCAGACCCCGTAGACTGTCGTTCGCATGGAAGGTCGAACTTAGCTTGGGCTTTTGCAAAGGCCGGCATCGTGTCGCGCCCAGAGTATCTCTCCTTCTCTTCCTTCCATCAGCTTCGTGTCCGAGTCGTCCTCTAGGAAGCCCCGGAGTTGTTTGCAGCCCTGGCAGCAGCAGCCCATCCCAGGCGCGGCTAAGACTAAAGACGACCTCCAGGATGGGTAGAGCCCTGGACCATGCAACACGTTTTCCTTGGAGGGTATACGCGGCTTTCAAGGCGTGGTTGCAGGGCAGAGTCAGGTTTAGGCGAGCAGCCTTCCTCGAAGAGTGAAGCCGCCGGTGCCAAGCTCTGTTGGAGAGCTGCGCGGAGCTTCGGAGCCTCGTCCCCCAAATTGGTCTCATCCAAGACATGCTGCAACGCAGCGATTCATCACTGTTGTGTGCATCCGTTGGTCCCAGAAAGTGTATGCTGTGCAGCTGCCGAAGATTTGAAGGCACGTCACGTTATTTCGCCACCCCGAAGCGGAATGTGTAGGTGTGGTGGTAGGTTTCAATGGCTGGGGTTGGGGCACGGGGGCAGTGGCAGATGGTTAAGTCCAGGCTGGGGGCCTGCACCAAAGGCACGCAAAGCCAAAGCGGGCCGCCGCGGCAGGGCAGACGCAAAGGCGGGCCGGGTCGCGACAGAAGAAGCTCCCAGGCCACGGCCTTGTGTGAGAAGGGGAGTCCAGCCTTTGTTTGGAGACAGCCGCCACATTTACGACAAGGTCCACCTGTTCACCAACCCAACTTCAATAGACAGCCGTCCGCACCGCCTGACCAGATCTTGGTCGAGAACAATTGCTGGTAGGTGCGCGACGCCCGCACATGGAAAATCCTTTGAGATCCCAATGCCCGACAGGCTTTTCGCCGTCAAAAGTGCTTGCACTGTCTGAACGAGCAGCATTCAACAAAGCCCGGGGCTGCAGTGCAGAGCGACCGCCAATGCGTCCGCCTACGGGCGGCACTGCAGGAGAGCCCTGCGAGCGGGCGCGAGATCTTAGCGTACTGTAAGAGGGCTTGAGCCAAGACGGTTTCATCAAC